AGCGCGGCTGACGCCGGGGCAGGCGCCTGCGGGATCACGAGCAGCAAGTTCCGGGCGGACTGGGCGTTCCGGCAGCGGCACTTCGAGGTATTTCCAGGGCGCTCGCAGGGGCCGGGGAGGCTGTGGGGACGGAGGGGGCGGTCCTGCAGTCCCCGGTGCGCTGCCGGGGTACATGATGTACAGGATGTACATGATGTACATGATGTACATGATGTGGCTGCGGGTCTGGCGGCCGTGCCAGGTCAGTCCCGCTCCCGCCCCGTGCCGAACGGGCAGGGCCGGGCCCGGAGCGGATCTGCCTGATGCCCCGATCCATGCGGGAGCGGCTGCGGCGAGCGGGCGGGCCCGGGCGCTGCCCCGGAACTGATCGCAGGCGGGCGGGCTCTTGGCAGCGCCCCAGCCGCCAGCAGAGCGGCCGTGCCTGCGGCCGGGGCAGCCGGAGTCAGGCGTGGCGTGCCCAGCGCCCGGGATATGCCGTGTCCCGCGAGGGCGCGCAGAGCGCTGGCTCGCCTTTCCCAGAGCTCCCCCCGCTGCCAGAGGAACGCTGCCGTGCCCTCCGGCTCCTGCCGGGCGCGGAGCTGCCTCTGCGGGACTTGTGCCAGGCCCCAGGGCCGGCTGCACCTCTGCCCGCAGTGGTCCCACACCTCTCTGTACGTCCTGAGCCGCATTCCTCATCAGCGATGCTCTCCTGCCTTCTGCAGTCCTCGTTGCAGGGTCTAGTTCTTCGTTACCTGGTTTCCTTGTTGAAATCGGCATCCCCGGGCCTTGTTTCGCGTGTAGCTTCTTCCAGCCTATGGTTTGCATTACAGGCTCCCTGATTTCAAAGCCCTCCAGCTGACTTCTGACTCCTTTTGCCTTGCCCATTGGATTTGTAGATCTTTTTTGTACCTCAGTTGGCACTGATCCTAATGTTATTTCAGCACTACTGCAGCCCTGTGTATACCTGACAGATATTTTCTAGTCTCAGCTGAGATGCCCTGAAGGAATTCATAAAAGGGTGCTGGGTAGCAGAGCTGCCTCAAGCTGTGGTCATATGTAGCTGCTAAATAGAACAGACCATTGCTTCCTAACTCTTTACTGTTGCAGTGATTCATGTTACAAATGTTTTCAGTTTTACTGCTATCCTAGATCACTGGTGGAACAAGAAGCAGAGCTTGATTGCATATAAAATTATTGATTTGGAAGCATTGATCTTAAGGGACTGGAAATGTGCAAATAGGGGTAGTAATCTCTCATCATCAGTTTTTTACTTCAGGATAGGCCACTTGATAGGAAGTGTCAAGGACAGCAGTGATCTAAGCTGTGCCCATTTTTAGGATATAGATGACTGTAGAATCTGCTAGGGATTCATAATACCTGAACCTTACCAGGTTATATCCCTTTGTCACATAACAAGGCAAACAGGGTTGTCCTCAATCCTGTGATCCGTTTCCACCAGTGGTTGCTGCATGCACTGGGCAGAGGGGAGCTCCCTCTTTTGATTAAGAATGAATGTGAGCTCAGCATCAGGAAAGAAAAATATTTCAGCCATTTTGCTAGGAAGTATTTAGGGTATTTAGAAGCTCTTTCTGTTAGAACCATTAAGGTTTGCAAGGAATAATTAAATACTCATTTTGAGAGATGGGAGAATGAGTGCTGCTCTTTAGTCTTCTCTCTAAGCACTTACACAAAGGGAGAGAAATCAAGATTCCAGACTTAGCTTCACTGAATGCTTAATTTAATGTATTTAAATGTTAATTGGAGTCCTGGTGAGTGCCCTGAGCATTAAACTGCAGAAGTATTGCTCATTCTTGCCTTTTTCTGTAGCCCAATTAATATTTATTTCAAGTACATTGAAATCAGCCTACAGGAACAATGGAGATTCACCTTCCTTGTGGTATTCTCTGACTTACTGATTATTTGAGGTGAGGTACTTGCAGGTTCAAACCTTCCCATGGAGAATGTCATGGTTTTGAAAGAAAGTCCTACAGATTGAGGATGAGCACTCAGATCACTGAGCTGGGGGAAAAGATGCCTTGTGTCATGTATTACCCAGGGCAGTAAATGATCCCTTCTGGATCAGGCATGGTGGGAGGGAGGTGGAGAGGTGTGTGGTGAATCCTGCTTGGGCCTCAGCACAAGTTGGAATTGAGGCTGCTCATCACCATCTAGGCTTGGCTGTGCAGTACTGGGACCTTGTCTCTTGCTCACACAGGTAGTAGCTGAGTCTGGAGAAATGTAAATGTGGACTTCAGGTTCTGAATTCCCTTTGTGACCGTAGTCCTAAAAAAAAATGTGCTGTCAGGCTTGCTTTTAAATGCAAATCTCTCCCTGTTTTGTTGGCTTTTCTTCCTGTGACACTCCTAGAAAGCCCTTCGTGAATACTCAGACTGCCTGCTACTCTTACCTGCCAGCAACGTTGCAATGAGGCGTGATGTCCAGGAGGGCCAGGCTCGGTGTTTATCTCACCTGGGAAGGCACAAGGAGGCTCTGGATATTGCAGAAAAAATGGTAAATAGTGTAGTCTTTCTTTTAGGCTTTGAACATGAAAACATTGCCAGTAGTTCTTCTATACGGGCCATTTTCTGGAAAAATAATTTTCATGTGTATAATCCTTCAGGATGTTCAGTGCTCAGAGTATTTGGTAAACAGAGGGTAACTGTCACTGCAGATATAATCACTCTTTAGAAACTGGAACACCCTGTACCACCACAATGAGCTCCCTGTGCAGGGAAACTGGTAGTCCTGGAAGGGACTAAATATCATGCTCTGCCAGGCAGAATTAATGCAATGTAATAGGAATTATAAGAAAGGGAATAAATGAGTGCTTAAATCTTTCCACTATACAAGTGACAGTTCAAAACTCCCTTTTATTTCCATATACTTGCTGCCAAACTGCCACCAAGAAGAGTATCTAGCCACAAATAGAGTTTTGCCATAAAAGAAAAAGTCCAGAGGCTCTGAAGTCTGCTGGAATATTATTGATGATTTTTATTTTATATAAAAGGTGTTTATGCTGCAAAGAAAGGCAGCTGTAGAACACTCTGAAGGCACATAAACAAATGACAGCATTTAGGACCTTCTTGCCTCAGACTGGGACAAGGCATCTAGAGGGAATGCTGTCAGCTTGATTGTGCAAGGTCTGTATCCCATTGTATCATTTTAAATTAAAAGCATCATTTTGTGCAGTTTAAAAATTACCTTGTGACATTTGTATGTCATTATTTAGGGAGACATTTTCTTAGGCTCTGAAGGATAATTCTGTTCTACTCCTGGTTTTAATCTATTATCTTTTGTTTCTAGAGAAACAGCGCTACTAACACAGATCACTTAACGACGGTTCTCAACCTGCAGTTTGCCATTTACCAGGGTCTGGAAAATGTAGAAAAAAAGATGTTGAGTCTGCAGCAACTGATCTGTTTACATCCTTTCAATCCCTGGTTCTGGAAGTTACTTGCTGAAGCTTATATGAGCCTTCTACAGAATTTGTCTTCATTGGTCATTCCAGAAGCAAATCTAAATCAGTCTGAAGAGGTTTGTGTAAATAATAGCAGTTTCAAAACATTAGCTGGCAGAGAGATTAATTTGCAGCCTCACAGATCAGAGGGCCAGAAAGAAGGCCCTTGGTTCAGCCTCGCTGCAGAAACAAAGGGGGAGAATGCAGTGACTTGTCCCAGCAGCCAAGCAGTGAAAGAATTCCTCTGCACTTCAGGAGAACTGGAACAAACGGACAAAGAGAAATGTGCAGACTCCAAGGCCTGGAAGCAGAGCATGTTAAAGAAAGTTGGGATGAAAGCATGTGCCTCGTTTATTAGAGCAAGGTAACTCGATCTATTCTTAGAGTAATGTTAAGTTCTCTTGGTCAAGAGCATATTTTTCCCAGTTTTTGTTTTCAGTTTGCATTTTCAATTTAAGTGTTTGTTTCAGAGCTGGCAGCACTAACTTAGAAGCACCCTACTGTTGCTTCAGATCAAAAAAGCAAAATCTACTTAGTGTGGTAGCTGTGAAGAGTCTGAGTGGAAAGAGTAAACCAGTGTCACGCACAGCTGAGAAGTAAAGAGTTTTTTAATGAGCTTATAAATCTTTTCAAGTAATTATATACAAAAGGGTCTGTTCTTCAACAAATGCTCCTGCTAGACCATTGCTGTTCCCTGTTCTGGTATTAAAGATGCAGTAGCAGAAGTGCCCAAAGGGAAGGCATAGCCAGTCTTCCTTCTGTGAGTGCCACCTGTCTTATTTGCTTGAAGCCTCATGCTTGAGTGAAAATGTATTTTATAATGATACCCCAATCTGCATAATGGATGAGGCTGGAAAATGAACTCCGTGACAACTGATTGACAGGGCTGCATTAAAATGTTCTTTCCTTTTCTTTTCCCTCATCCTAAAACTCCTGCACACAGCAAAAATCCCCAAAACATAATCTTTCAGAGAGATAATTAGGAACTGGTTTTATTAAAATAATCTTGGATGTTTTTTCCCCCTCTTGCCTCTCAGTAATGTATCAGTCATTGAATGTTTTTAAAGGCATCTTATGAATGTCCAGAAATGTTTACAGAGAACACTTTATAACTGCCTGCTGGGGCAAGATTTAAGAAATGAAAAAAGCCCAAAGAGTAGCTTATAACTGTACTCCAGACTAAGAGATGAAGACTTTAATTGCTACTCGGAAGAAGTTAATTGATTCAATACTGATATTGAATATTGAAGGTACATTTATATGAATAATTTGTGTTGCTTGTTTCAGTGTGTATGATTCAGAGCTGAGACAGTTATAAATGGTGGCATTTCCTTGTTTGGCTGCACAGTTTCACAGTGTTATTGTGGTTTATATTTGCAGATACACTTGCCCAGGATAAGCTTCTCCCCTGCCCAATGCTTATGCAGGTTGTCTAATATTTTCAGATCTGTTGGATTTTAAGTGGGATCTAGATGTTGTATAAATGTATGTGCAGGATAAATTACACCTGGAAAAGGGATGTTAGCACTGCTTTTTGTAGGAAATAAGGTTCTCTGTTGATGCATCATGAATAATTGACTCTCATAGTTTTGAAAAAAAATTGAGTATTTTTTGTTTAATTTTCATTGGAACTTCATTATTTTTTATACTACATTGAAGCAAATTTTGAAACAAAACCACTTTATAAATTAAATTTTTTTGCTTGGGACCAACAAACCATCTGTAATTTCAGTGAAATTTTAACTGAGAAATTCACATTTGTAAATTTTGATGCTTCTAGTGTTCAAATTAACGTTTTCATCTCAGATGTCGAGTCTTTTCCTTAAAACCACACACCATTATTATAACACCAGCTTCACTTAACTTCAGTAAATGGGATAAAAAAGTTTGTTGTTTTTCCTTTTTGCATAAAGCTTGAATTAAACACATTTTCAGCAACAACACTGCTAAGTTCTAATAGTCCCTTGGTTAAATATTGTAGAATGATAGAATTCCAAGTTAAAAGGGACCTCAAGGGTCATCCTTTCTTGGCAAAATCATGATCTAGGCAAGATGGCCGAGCACGCAGTCTAGCTGAATCTTAAAAATGTCCAACACTGGAAAATCCACAACTTAGGCAAAAATGTGCTGCTGTCTTGTTAGGCCATAGTAAGGACATGATGACTCACAGGTCCCAGCCTCACTTTTGAATGGTGTGATGAATAACTTTTTTTGCAGTAGGCAAAAATCAGGAAGAAGAGTTGTTTTAAGGTGTTAATTAAAGTATTAACCATTATGGTTGTTTTTAGGTCTGCTGACCTACTCTTTTTCCAGCTGTGTCAGTTTTTAACTGTCTTTCCCATTCCAGGCTTTTACTTCAGCTTACCCAGTCACAACAGCTCTCCTTTGTGCTAGAGAATAACAGAAAATGCCAAAAAGAAATCGATGACAAAGTGGCTCTACTTGGTTTTGATGAAAACTCCTTGCTGTTGATGACCAAAGTAAGAAGATGTTTCATTGTGTGCAGGGTCTCAGTTCTCTGTGTGGACTGGTTGTGCTCAAAGCATGACACTGCCCTGAGCTCATTAAGTGTGCCAGGAAGCACAGGGAATTATCTGGAAGTGACAGGGGTACCTGTTGCCCTGGCCTGCATCACACAGGTGGATCTCTGATCTGCCGAGATTCTCCTTTCAGGAATGTGCAGTGTTGTTAAGTTTCTCACTGGACTTGTATTTGCAGATGCATCAGTACTGTGCATTTCCTGGGATTTACATTTTATCTCAGGAGTTTTAGATGCCCCAAAGTGAATCACTAGTTTGAAATGGAAGTGCAGATTACTTTGTAGGCCACAGCGGTATTAAACACTTGTATAAAAAGTACTAAGTATTTCCAGAAAAAGCCAGAGACTTCCTTTTGCATTTCTTTGTTTTGTTTAATGTACTGGTTTTTTAAAAAAATAACACAGGAGAGCAATATTGCATTTAATTTCTTCACAGATATTTAATGTGCTATTTAAAGAGCCTCTGACTTTAATCTTAAGGATCAAAATAAAGCCAGCTAGATTCTAACTTTGCTGTCAGCATTTCAGCTTTAAGTTAGTGACAGCCAAGCCACTGCCGGGCTGCAGGCAGTCGGAGGGATGGCATCCATGAGAGGGCAGTAGCACACAGGCTACCTCCGTGTTGGGAAAGGCTGGAAAAAAACTTCTCTCCTTGCTTCCCTTGCTCAGACATGCCCCAGGAGCAGTTCAGTGTTGATTGATGATGCAAGGTGAGCACTAAATGCAGAGCTGGAGTTGAGATTTCTGCTGCTGTTCAGAGTGAAACCCCCCTGTGCAAGTGCAGCCTGAAGCTGGAGGGGTTGTGGAGTGCTGAGCTTTGGTCTCAGCTCTCCCTGAATGCAGAATGCCAAGGCAGGCAACTTCATCGTGGCATGGAAATTTCTCCAGGATGGTGTGTGGTTCATGTGACAAGAGCTTTGCCTGTAAAGATTTGTTATTAATACCATGTTTGATGGGCTTTTTCTGCAAGTTAATTTCTTGATTCCCTTCTTTCTTACTCTTGTTTTGCAGGCTATGGGGCAGGATCTTATACCAGAAAAACTAAAAGAGGAGTTTCAGGGTGAGGTAAGATGCATAGGCCCTTCAGCACTGTCATCACTGGTAACTGCTTCGGTCATGGAATTTGAAATCAAATGGTTTGGTAATCTCCAAGATGATTTATGTCACTTTGATGGACAATTTTAGTCAGACATTTATCTCCAACCTTCAGTAACATAGACATTTTGTTGTATTTATTCTTGTATCTCCAAATGATTATGGCATGATGCATACAATAAAGTTTGTATTACATTTTTTAAGAATTCTCATTGTATTTATTTTAAGTAGATATAAATCTCCATGTTTAAACTCTTAATCTTGCATCCTTTTCTGTGTTTACTGATTTTTTTGTATTTAAAATTATAAGGAACACAGTGTAAAATCAAGCTTTCAGCTTTCAGAGGTAGCTTTCCATCATAATCCTCACCAACCTGTGCTTGAAGTGCATGTGATTTTTTTGAGGCCTGCAATGCTGGTGGGATGGAAGCTGCTTTTCTGATGTCCAGTTTGGAAGTTTCTTGGTATCAAATTTGATGTTGTTGCATTTAGAGCCATGGAATTAGCCATTTTCTTAAGTAATTATTTTAATATTTTTTTATTAACATTATGGTGATTTCATGTTCACAGATGGATAGCTAGAAATGTCAAATGTATTTATGCTGAGAAATTGTCAATAACAATAATTCTATATCTTTTAGGAAGGGAATCTCAGTATTAAATATTTTACTTAAAACTAGGAGATTTTCTCTTTTTGAAGCCAAGGGTTTGTTGCAGGCATCCAGCAAGCTGTAGTCTTGTGTTCAGTGTGCTTAGACGAGAAGGAGAAAATCTGACAAGGTTGTTTATATGTACTGAAGAGTGTTTCATCAGATCATATCCTTTGTAAAAGCCTGCAAGGATGATCTTCACTGTGAAAACTGGCCGTGTTGTTTCTGCCTCATCCAGCTCCGTCTGTTGTGCTTTCAGTTGTCAGTGACAATACTTTGCTTTGCTTTCTCAAGCACTGGTGCTGTGTGCTTTGGGCATTTAGAAGAGGGCAAAGATCCTCCTGTAGTTTCTTTTACTTGAAATAGTTTGCATTTCAGACATACATGGTGTGCTCTTCCCCCATCTTCTCTTAAACTGTGAGACTTAATTTTTCTGTATCTTTCTGTAAAAGTGCTCTATTATGGATGTAGTTTAAAACTAGGGGTCTCTTAGACATACTTTGCTGTCCCTTTTCTTCATGTGTTCCTGTGTTTTCTTTCTGGAGTACTAAAGAGTGCCAAAACCTTAAATAATTCACAATTGAATGATGATTCACCATGTGTGAATTGTATCTGCTACTTTTAGATGAATTTTAAAGCTTTAAATTCTGATTAGGGAGGCTATCATGAATCATGTAATGGTTTGGATTGGAAGGGACATTCAAGATCATCTAGTTCCAGCCCCACTGCCACAAGCAGGAACACCTTCCACTAGACCTCTCTGGTCATCCCGTTCTGGTGTCTCACCATTCTCACAGCAAATAATTTCTTTCTAATATCTAAACCAAATCTGCCCTCTAAGTTTGAATCTATTCTCCTTTGCCCTGTGACTACAGGCCCTTGTAACAAGTCCCTCTCCAGCCCTCTTGTATCCTCCTTTATGTACTAGAAAGATCTCCCCAGAGCCCTCTCCAGGCTGCAGAGCACCACTTGTCTCTGCCTTTCCTTGGAGAGGTGTTCCATCCCTCTGAACATCTTTGTGGCCTCCTCTGGACTCACTTCAGCAGGTCCATGTCCTTCTGTGCTGAGGACCCCAGAGCTGGGTGCAGCGCTGCAGGTGGGGTCTCACCAGAGCACAGCAGAGCAGAGAGGCCGAATCCCCTCCCTCACCCTGCTGCCCACGGGGCTTTAGATGCAGCCCAGGACAGCTTTGGCTTTCTGGACTGCAGCTGCCCATGGCTGGAACATGGCCAGCCTCTCATCCAGCAGCACCCCCAGGTCGCAGCACAGCTGCTCTTGGTCTGTTCCTCCCCCAGCCTGGATTGGTACTGGCGGTTGTCCCAACCCAGGTGTAGCATCTTGCACTTGGTCTTGTTAAACCTCACGAGATCCTTGAGCTTGTCCAGGGCCCTCGGGATGGCATCCCATCCTCCAGGTGTGTCAGCTGCACCACTCAGCTTGGTGTCATCTGCAAACTTGCTGAAGGTGCACTCGATCCCTTCATCTGCGTGACTGATGAAAAGATTGAACCCTTGGTGTGGTTTAGCCCTCTGCTAAGTTGACTGAAACTTCTCCAGAAAAACGGAATATTGCCTTCAGCCATGTCAAATTACTTTTGATAGTTGGGTGAGTTAGTGCAATTGAACCACATCCTGGGCAGCTGGTTACGAAAGGCCGTGACTTGGCAGGTGTCCTTGGGTGAGCACTGGTGCACTCATCATGTGCCACAGGAGATTTGGTTTAGTCATGCGTGCGCTTTGCTAGGCGGAAACTTTTGTGTGCGTTTGTGCAGCGCTGTAGTCAGGTGGCCATGAAGCCCGCTTGAAGGGCTGGGGATGCTTTTGAGACTAAGAGGTGTTGTAATTCTTCAGAAGAGACTGTCCACAATGTGTTGTAAATTAATTACAATGCTGGCATCGACAGGAGAATCTTACACCAAAGACAGCAAACGTGGAAAGCTTAATGCTAAATATGTCAGCAAAAAAATGAAACATGGACATCTCCCATTTTCTTCTTAAACTGAAGGTCATGAGTAGCCACATGAAAAGGCTGTAATTTGTTTTGTTTCAGCTGTTAGGACATCAGAACACAGCTTTTATGGGACCAGGTCTATATAGATACTTAATGGAAACTCACCAAATTATTTGGCTTCACAAATAGCGTTGGAAATGTTTTAGCAGCAAACTAAATACTTGCCAAACATTGTCATTTTGTGACTGAAATGTCTGAAACACACAGCAGCTAGCCAAGGTGATTTGGAAACTTTCTGTTGTCTGTCCAGATTGTTTGACTTGACACTGTCTTTTAAGCTGGGAACACAAAGGTTAACTCCCCACTGCTTCCAGGAGTTAGAGAAAAGTGTTAGCTCTTAAGAGCAGGCAGTATTTTCTAAAACAATAATAAAGCAAAAATGTTGATTTTAACTACTGCAAAGAAAAGAAGATGAATGCTGTTCTGAATGTGTCACATAGTTACTGTTCCAAATAACCAGTGTTTATTGCACTGGGGCTATAAAATGTTCCTTTGTCCCATTTTTGCCTGGCTATGTCTCATCTCAGCTACTTCACTTCTTCCTTTTTTGGCCTGCCTCTCCTTTTTTTGTGCCTCTTCTAACTCCAGTTTTCTGTTTCTGATCATGTCTCTAGAGGGGCTTTGCATTTCCATTTTGCATTGAATGCTTCATTGTTGCCTCTACCTTCTGCATAATTTTACATCTGCCTGTAATAGATTTCTTCATTATTTGGCTTTTATGTTATTGTTGGTATTAGTACATGGATCACTACTCCATTCTGAGTTAAACAGTGAATTTTAGTATTGCAAATTGCAAGGGAAAATCTACTAACAGTTACTGAGGTTTGATTTTGTTATTTTAACACTTGTTTGTGGTACTGGAGCTTTGGGAAGGACCCTCTGCTGCTGATTCTGATGCTCCTAAAATGATTGCTGTCTGCAAACACCATTATGGGTCTTGCTGTTGAGTGTTTGAGTGCTGCTGGCTTTGAGGTGAGGGACTGCATTAGTGCTGTAATTAGTAAGGTTAACACAGTTTTCATCACAGAATCATCGAATTATTTGGGTTGGAAGGGAACTTCAAAGGTCATCCAGTTCCAGCCTTCCTGCCTGGGGGTTTGGCAGGGAACTTTCCACTCGACCAGGTTGCTTAAAGCCCCATCCAACCTGACCTTGAACACTGCCAGTGATGGGGCATCCGTAACTTCTCTGGGCAACCTGTTCCAGTACCTCACCACCCTAATAATAAAAATAATCTTCCTTGTATCCTCTTTCAAATTAAAACATGTCATCCTGTCACTGGGTTGACCCTGGCATACTGCCAGGTACCTACCCTAATGCTCCATCACCCCCTGCCCCCCGCAGAACTGCAGGGAAGGAGAAAATAAGATGGATAGAAAAAAAGATTTGTGGTTCACAATAAAGGCAGTTTAATAGAGGAAAAGCAAAAGCTGCACAAGGAAACAAAGGAAAACAAAAATGTATTTATTCTGTCTTTTAATCAGCAGGCAGTCATTGTAAAAATGAGGAATCAAGGGTTGTAACACAGAGGGAGTCCTGCTTGTGCTCCCAGCTTAGAGGCACCTTTATTGCTGGCAGTAGCAGAGGGGTTTTAGGTAACGCCAACTTCTCCTGCCTTCTTTCTGGTACACATACGTAAGCTAGATGCAAGCAAACCCATTCTGACAGTAATCTGGGAACCCAGGTGGGACCCTGTGGGCTCCCCACCTGGTGAGTGTGGTGATGGCATATGACCCTGCCAGTACTGGGTGAGTTCCCCCAACTGTTCTTGCAGGATCCACACTGCCTGGGAAGGTACTAAAACTGGGAACAGCATCAGTCATCGGGGGTTCAGTAAGGTAAAATGAGGTTCATTGTGACAGAAATTCTGGAAAACTGGAAGAAAATTGACAGTACTTCAGGACTGCCATCAAGCTGGATGTAATTCTGCGTCAGGATGAGTGGCTGGAATGCTGGAGGGCAGACCCTCTGAGCACTGGCCCTGGGGAGATTCTTCTGATATGAGTCAGTTGACCTTCCTTCCTCCTATGTGATACGACATACAGCAACCTGCTCACTATTCCCCATCACCTTCTTGTCCATTACAGGACACACTGGAAATAATTTCCAACATCTGTTGCTCTACCATCTCCCCAGGAATGGAAGTGCAGCTGGCAAGCCTAGTGAGGGTCCTGGAACAGGAGAAGGAGTATGGTGTGCAGTAGTTGAGGGAGGAGTAACACTTGGATGGTCTTTGTTTTCTAGGCAGAACAACCAGGGAACTGTCTGTGTCACAAATTAAATAATAAAAAATAAAACAGCCTGTGGAAGAATTGGCAAACTGGTAACACTGGACATGGAGAAGGCTGAGGTATTTAATGAATTTTCTGCCTCAGTTTTCACTGGCAACCTCTCCTCTTACGCCTCTTGAGTTGATGGCTCTCAAGGCAGGGATTGGGAAACAAAATCCCTCCTGCTGTGAGAGAAGATCAGGGTCAAGAGCACCTGAGGAACCTGAACAAACCTGAGTCTGTGGGGCCTGGTGAGAGGTATCCTAGAGTCCTGAGGGAATTGGCTGGTGTAGTTGCCAAGCCATTCCCCATGATACTTGAAGTCATGGAGGTCAGGTGAATTCCCAAGTGGCTGGAAGCGGCCTGTGGAAGAAACAATCAGTGAAATGCTCCCAAGTTCACAGGCAGGAAGCACAGGGAATGTCCTCGAGCACAGGCTCCTCCGTGTGCCTCCAGTGTGGGCAGCAATCAGCAGTGGGATCCGGCAGGAGTTGTGTGTCGGGGCACCAGGATACACATTCCAAACCACCTTAATGGGCAGCACTTGCTCACAGGACACCAGCTGAAAGACCTGCAGGGCTAGTTCGGGCTGGGGAAGGGACATGGGAACACTGGAAAACCCTGACCAAGCCCAGCCTATTCATCCAGCTTAGTTCCAGGGTGTGAAAGCTGGGGCAGCTGCGGGTTCCTGGTGCCCTGCAAAACCTTTCCTGGTGCATGACAATGCCCTGGGCAGTGGCACTTGCCTGCTCTCTGCTCCCCGTGGTGAGGACATGCACAGAACCAGCCCTGGCAGGAGTGTCATTGCCATCCCCACCCATGGTGCTCTGACCTGGCAGAGTTGCCTTCCAGAAAGCCCTGGGGCTTTTCTTAGGCTCTGCAGGGGCCACACAGGACTTAATTGACCTCTAGAGTGCTCTGAGGCCCCACCTGGGCTTTCCTGGGACCCACTGGAAGCCCCTGCTGCCCTCCACATGTCCTCCCACTCTAAAAAAGTCTAAACATCCCCAAAAAATCAGTTTTAATTGGAAACTCACTTCTGTAGATCATCTGAAGGTTGGTATAGGCTACATTTATTTAAGCTTTTTAGCCCCACCTAGATCATCTTCCTTCAAAATAAGACAAAACAGGAGGGCAGCAGGGGAATCCATCAGCAAAGCCCAGATGAGACCCTGAGTCACTGCAGAGTAACCAAAGCAGAGAGGCAGAATCCCCTCCCTGGCCCCGCTGCCCATGGGGCTTTGCAAGCTGCCCAGGGCACGTTTGGTGTTCTGGGCTGGGCGCGCACAGTGCCAGCTCATGTCCAATGAACCATCCAGTATTCCCACGTTCTCCTCTGTGCTGCTCTCAGTCCGTTCACTCCTACCCAGCCCAGGTGCAGGACCTTGCACTTGGCCTTGTTGAACTCCATGGGGTTCACTTGGGCCTCCAGCCTGTCCAGCTCCCTCTGGACAACATCCCTTCCCTCAAGTGACTCACCTGCAGCACTCAGCTCGTTGTCATCCTCAGATTTGAGGAGGCTGCACGGTGTGCACGAGTTTATCTGAGCCCTTCCCTTGCTGCAGATGGACAGGGCAGGTCAGCACCTGCCATGGCCTTCCTGACAGCTTCTGCAGCTGCCTATGAACGTTGCCCTTTATCACCGAGTTGTGGGGGCCTGTTAGGATTTTTAGCATAACTCATTGCTGACATTGTAAACTGACTGTTTTCCATCAAAACTGAAATTCCATTCATTTGATGTTCAAGTTCAGATATTGTCTGAACCAACACAAGCTGTTTTCCTGATCCAGCTGAAATGAACTCACAGTGGTCCTTCTGGATTATTAGCTTGACCCTTACCTACTTTTCATTAGCTATGTTCTCCAAAACGTTTGTAGGCAAACTGTCTTGCCCCACAGAGGTGAAAGGAGCTCCTTCATGGACTTCACAGGTCATAGCCTGAGGAAATCAAGGTCTACAAACTTCTACCCACATCCCCCTCTGTACCACCCCAGCTGAGCCACAACAGGATCAGTGAAATGAAGCACATTTAGAAGGAAAATCTTAATTAGTCTCTTTGGACACTTTAATTCCGTTCCTGCCAATTTCAGAAGAAACAAAATATGTTTCTTCTTCATCTGGGCTTTGTATTGGACTCATTCAGCTTTTGAAAGACAATAGAGTAAGTTGTACAAGGCAATAGAATATGAAGAAAAAAGTATTCTCTTTTATTTGAATGGTTGCTATATTCAGATAGTTAAGTAGAATTATCATAGGAATGAAAATCAAATTTCCCTTCTCCCCGAGGAATCCAAAAAATGTTGCTATGTACAGAATTTACAATTATATGCAATAGTTGATTATTACTATGGACTCCAAAATTTGGTATTACTGGTTAAAACACCCATACTGAAGCTAGAGCAGGATGTGTCCATCCTGTACCTTTCATAATGTTCTTTAAACTTTATAGATATGCTTCTAAAATTATTGCACTTCCAATGATGATAAACCTTCTTCACCTGCATACAATTATCATCATCCTCAGTCTACATAATTAAACTGTATTCCTTTTTGAGCAGGTGAGAAGTCAGGGAAAACAGGCCAGAAGTGAAAATGTGTTTTCTGTTTTCTGTTGGAGGCATGTGAAAAATGATACAAAGCAGGTGTGGAACAAACAAATCTACTGATAAATCAACAGCTGTTAGGCATCTTGGTAACTTTGGATGGAAATCCTTTGTTTCATGAATTTTCTTACTTTTGCTTACAGAAGCTTCCTTAGTTTTCATGGATTATTTGGCAGAAAGTTTTTTCTGGTTTGGTTCAAGTTGTTGAACCTCTGTAACTCCCTTGGGTAACTCGAGTCCGTGGGCACTATAGACACCCAGTTTAACTTTAAAAATTAGAGGCCCTGAAGAACTCAGCGGTATCTCTAACTTCATGTTCATCAGATGACCACAGAAAGGATTTTAAAGATCCATGTGCAATTAAATGAATTGGAACTCAGTCCTGGCATGTTGCTAGTAGGTCTTTGCTTCTTTAACTCAGCGCCATTTTCCAGTCTTAACCATCACAGGTGCTCTGCATAAGGAAAGTTGCCCTGAGCTGGTAGGATGGGACGTTTGTTACCAAGTGTGCTGGGACACACCCATGTTGCTGATGAGTGGAACTGAACGTGGGGTGAATGTGTCTTTCACAACTGGAACTGTCGGTCTCAGTCCATGTCAAGGGTACCAGGCCCCTTCCTAAGAACCCTTGGGAACAGCCATCCTTGATGTGCAGCTCAAGCAGAGAGAGGTCCAAGTGCTATAGCAGGATCTGTGCTTCCCTGCCAGCCCAAAGACAGTCCCCCATAAATCAAGATTAAGGTTTGATGAGAGCACAAAGGTATCCTGCTGCTGCCAGCTTCGTCTCTGTATGCCACGGAAACAGCAGCCTTCAGTCTCCTTATTCAAGTGCACAAAATGCAGAGTAGTAAACTGTGTATTACCCCCTTTCAGTTGCCTGGACATAAGAAAAACAGTTACTGTCCTTCTGGTACGCAAATATGCTGCCAGGGGCAGGTGACAGGCAGCAGCAGTGCTGCACTGCGAGTAGCACTACTCAGATGTGTTCTTCCTGGGATCCTGATGCACCTGAGATTCACACATTAGCAGCCTTGGCTTTTTAATCAGGGAAATGAAGCATCCATAAGCAGCAAAACAAGAGGCTTGAAATCATCCTCATTTGTATTATACAGAATTTCTATATTCATCAGTACACAAGCGATTGCTAAACAGGTCCTCAGTGCATTTACTTGCATTTCCAAACAAGGTGGTTATTATGCAAACAGGTTAGCTTTGTGGAGGCATCTCCAGGATGAGCTTAACCCTGTCCTGTTCGGTTCCTCTTGCCTGAGCCTTATAGGTCTGTAAATGTTCATGTTGTTATAGGGAACTGTGGAGTTTTCAGCCATGTAGTGTGGCTGATAGTAATTGGGCTGGATGGCCTTCTGTGGAGGCGGGGGAGTGAATGAGACATAGCTGTGGAAGGAATTGACTCGCTGCAGAGGTGACTGGGGGGTGAAGTTGCTGTTGAACACGAGAGTTCTTGGGGTCTGCTTGCTCTGGTGGGTGCTCCCAGCCGAGAGGCTGCTGAAGGCGTCGGAGAGGGTGTTGGCGCTGCCCTCGTCGCTGCAGGGGAGGCTGCGCGGGGGGTTCCAGCTCCGGCTGAACAGGAAGGGCAGGCCGCGCGGCGGGGTCTTGGCGCCCCGCACGGGCTTGGACAGCGCGTACAGGTGCCGGAACTCCTCGTCAAACAGCTCCACAACCTGGCCCGTGAACTTGGAGAGGAGGTTGCGGTGAACCTGCCCACACAGCCACGTGAAGCTGCAGGAAGAGACAAGGTAAGGGTTAGAGTTAACGCTGGCTATCAGTAACTGCAGGGGCGATGTGATAGGCAAATTGTGTTTTACTGCTGAAGCTTCTTGTCTAAACACAGGATGAAGATGGTGTCGAAGTTGAATTTCAGGTCAGTTCACATCAGTGCTCTTTAGCTTGGATCAATCTTTGTTATTGCAGCTGCCTCTAAAACCTTCAAGAAACCTTGCAACGTTATGCAACCTCCTGAAGGGAGTGGTGATCCAGATCCACTGCATGGATAAATGTCAGATGCAAAACCCAAGGTCTAGGTGTCTGTTCCGTGGAAAGGAGTTTAGACCCCTCTTTTGGGGACGTCTCTTCCATTCACAACACTTAAATTCAGGTCTTACCTGCACACACATAAATTGTACCTTGTACCCTGCAGCATGCCATTCCACTTGGTAACTCTCAGCCCCTCCAAGTGACATCAAAACGACTAGGAAAAAAGAACCATCCTTTGTTTTCATTTTTCCATAATCTTTCTGCATTGGTCAAGAGAAACACATAAAACCCCAATCTTCTTGTCACGTCCCATACCACAAAACAAGCCGCCACACCTGACAAATGCTTGTTTTTTTCACTACAGAGAAAATGAAATTACAAATATTTCCTACAGTATTTCCAAAAATAAATGTAATATTTTGCTATAAAGTAAGGGAGAAACAGCACAATAGTTTTCATTCTGGTAGTTCAGAGACACATCTTAGGATAACCCACAGCTTTTAAATTATTTTTCTTTTATGTGCTTCCCTAATCCACTCAGCAAACATAAATTTGTGCTTTTATAAAACCACAAGCCAGCTTGATTGTGTTGCGCAGGCTGCTGTGTCTGAGCAGCAGCAGCACCAATAAAATGAGCATAGTTGAGAGAATGAAATGTAATTACTCCCTGAACTGACCAGGGCTTGAGCTGTGCAGCAGAGGATAAAGAACAGTAGCGGTGGATTTGAACCTGAGATTATTCTGTGTTGGCAAAACTCTGCCATGGTTATTCCTGTGTGACTTTATTAGCTATGCTGGATTTGCTCAAGGGCTGCTGAGAGCCAGATTTGGCTGTAGGTGTGTGCACTTAAAATCCTGTCATGTTTTGGTACAACTGCTGTGAAGCTCAGTGAGACTGACAGCCTGAGCTGATACTAAGGCAGTAAGACAGACAACATATATCTGCTTGTCCAGAGCATTCCTAAAGAGGGCTGGGTTTGAGGTATACAGTGATTTTATACTGTTGCTTCAGGAGCAGGGGAAGGAGTGAAGAAATCAGTAGTTCAATGCCATTGGGCACCCATACAATTTATACTGTACATTCTATGACTCGACCTGAAAACACATACTAAGTTACCAAAATTCAGGTACTTTCTCATCCACTGTGTTCAAATCATACTAAACATGAACAAAACCTTGGAAGCCAAGGTAAAGAGCAAGCTAACTCCCTGCTGGGTGCGTTACATCTTCTGTGCCAGCTCAACATCGCCTTTATTCATTCTCTAAACCTTTGCATGTCCTTCATTTAACTATTAAAGAGACAATTGGTCAGAAATAAATACAAAAATGCATACAATTTTTCTAGGATATCTGTACTGAAGGTTACAAACTCATGAAAGGGCTGAGGTCTAAAGTATCATGTTTGTGGGAACTCAAAATGTCCCTCAGACATTTTTGGAGGTTCCAGGTCCAGGTCAGAAGCATTTGAGACCCTGGCAGGCAGCTGGAAACAGCTGTGATTTTGTATTTGAGCCATGGAATGATTTACCAACCTTTCAGGAAGAACAAGAAGTCACAAAAGTTTAGATATTATAGTAGAAGTAGTTACAAAGTAGAGGGAAGAATTTTTTTTAGTGCTGTACAGGGGGGTTTTAGTTTTAATTTTGTACATGGGAGTCAGAGGTTTTAAGATGGAGGGATTTTGACCGGTCCTGTCATCCCTCTTTCTTCTTACTTACCTCCATGTTCTTGATGATTTTGGCACTCACAGATTGATTTAGAGTAGAAAAGCACCATTTAATATAGGTAGTAGGTAACGGGGGAAAAACTGCAAACATGTATCATGTAATGTACCATATAAAAGATAGCAGCAGCCCTGGGCAGAGACAGAGAAGAAGACGGGAGACAGAGAGGGTGTCAGGGGTGTGTGTGCCTTTGCCTGGGCTGCTGAGCAAACCACAGCAGCCCAAGAAGACAATCTTCTAGATAACTTGCAATAACCATGAGACCAAACAGCAAGAGATTGCTGAGCCTTTGCTGAAGCACGGTTGGAGGAGAAGTTCTTTCACCACACGAAGCCACCCCGCGACCTAGAGTGGTCTTCAACACGTTTATACTTTATGTGCTAGAGATACACCTAGTTTATAAAAGAAAATTTAGACAGAAATAAATGTCAATTATACTTGTAAATGGCTAGTAAAAGCCTAACAGAATTAGAGGAAAAAAGGTGCTCTGCCCAATTCTGATGATTTACCCACATGTATCTTCCTGGAGTACCTGACAGACAGAAGTTTGTGGGTCATAGATTTTACCTGTAACTCTTATAAACAGAGAAAGTTGGATCAAATGAATAGCCCAGAGATTCTCCAAGAACTGATGGCAAATGGGTTAGCTCAAAGTTACTAGGTAAGATCTTTGTGATTATAGACAAACACTTGTGGACTTGTTGTGTAGTGAGTCACAGCAATTTACAGTCTGTGTACTTTGCTGAAGAACAAAACAGAACTTGGCATAAAAGACTTAACAGGTTTTCATTGGCTTAATTCTAAGAGATAATGCATTGTTTGGGTTTTAGGCCTTGTTTTGCTCCTTAGTTTACAATTCTGAGTGCTCTTTTGGGACAGGCTCATCACCCCCTGGCCAGATGGATCACTTTTCTCCCAGTTTTTTTTGGGTGAGGCCTATCAAAAGAGGAAAAAGCACAAAGAAATGATGCCTGCCTTGGGGCCAACACTGTATCATAGATTCAGTCAGAGATAGATACTGCTCAGACATCTTTCCAGGGCCTTGTCCTATGTCCTGTTACAGACCCTCTGATTTACGATGTTCTCAATCAAATCCCACCTCTCCTGTTCAGCACTGGACTTGTTTTAGAATGGGTGTCCTCTCTGCACTGCTGGAGCTGCAGCTCAGCAGGGATGTTCTCATCCCTGTGTTTGCAGTGCTGCAGCAACGTGCAGCACAACACCCATGGAACCTGAAATGGAAGGAAGGACACACCGGGGTTTCCAGCTGGGCTCAGGTTTGGGGCACCCTGGATGTCAGTGTTGCCTGCTGGTGGATAACCTGTGTGGGAGAAACCTGCCCCACCTGAACTGACGCTCCTGGCAGAGCATGTCCATGCTAGCTGTTAGATGCTGACTCTGAAGAGGCCAGGGGCTTTCAGAGTGGCAGCCAGGGAGATACTCAGCTGCCGCTCGGGATCAAGTTTTCATTTTGCCTTCTTTAGGAATGCTGTGTTCATGCACTATCTAATTTCAAAGTCATTAAAAAAATGGAATAATAGTTACCATAGGATAAGGTAGAGTGACACAGAGACAGCAAAAGAAATACTGCATTCTAACCCCTCACCATAGACACTGGCAATAAAATTGAGAGTATGTTCTGAAGGGCTATTTTATTTCCTCAGCCTGTTCCCCCACCACTATTACAACTATTATGCAGAGTTCAGCACTTCTGTTTGGTGTTGTATTTTTAAATCTTTGTATCAGTTTTAAGATCTATTTCAACGTGATTTCCAGCAAATGCATTGCAGAAGAGTTTGAGTCTCTGTTACTCAACACCATTCTTGTTTATACTGAAGAGGTTGGTGGATAAGATTTAGGTGTAACAAAAATCTTTCAGGTTAATAAAGTGAGAGCTAGCAAAAAATGCTACATACTGGTAGGCAGCTATAACCCATGTGAATTCAAACTGGTGCTGATCATGTTGAAGTTAAATAGTTTATAGTTTTAAATACATTTGTTCCTCACTACCCTCTCTGTTTGTGTGCTGGATGTGGAATTACATAGTTTGACAAGGTACTCGATATTAGAAAATATTCAACAGCAGTAGAGAAAGACAGAAGTGACTGCACAGGACTTCAAGTGTTTATAGTTTTTTTGGTATTGAAAGATAAGCCAAAAGGAAGCTTCTTGGTCAAAGAAAATAGATCTTGTTGTGTTCTTCTCCCACACATCCTTCACTTCTACTCTATAGAATTCTTTTGTTGGATTTTAACACATCCTTGACAAGGCATTAAAAACCACCCCAAATAACAAGAAAACAAAAGAACAGTCAATAAAAAACCCCAACCCTGAGTGTCCACTGAGTTCATTTGGAAATGGAATGAAAAGTGGGTGCCTGTGTTAGTGTACATCTGAGCTCCTGCAGCCCATGCCCACAAAGTCACTTTTTCCTTCGTTACTGTAGTTCTGTAAACTTCCTGGTGGCAAAGTTTTATCAGACCAGAGGCATTTAAGCATCCAAATCATAAATGGGGATTAAGAAAAATAATAATATCCTTTAAATTAAATAATCACCTCTTGTATTTTTGTACCTGGATTTCTAGGATACACTTAGTCATTTGTGAAACATATCTATGTAGCCATGATGCTCATAAACTTAATCTATTTGATGCAAGCTCAGAGTCTCCTGAAATTCCCTGGTCAGAGATCTAGGATTTTACTTAAAAATCCAGTTGTTGAGATGCTATATCCACTACCTGAAATAATTATAGCAGCACAAACAAAACAAACAAACAAACGACCTTTTAAAAAAGGGGGAAAATGAAGGTACAGCAGTTATGTAGATATATACTGCCTACCTGTTAATGAAGCACATGGAAAAACAGTAAGTCTCTGAAGTATTTCTGTTTTACCTTTAATCACTAAATTTGTCATATGAAGAACAAATCCTCAGATAAGCTGAGTGACATATGCTACATTAAGGGATCCCCAAGGGAGACAGAAATGTCTCATGATCACAACACTTGAGAACCCTAACAATGAGGAAAGCATAATATTAAGCTGTACACATTTCTAGCTTTGCCCCAGGGCTGCACTGGCAAAGTTGTTTACATTATTTCTGAACATTTAAATTAAAACCCATGCTCCATAAGGAACTAAGAGGAGCTTTAAAGCAAGTTAAGTAGATTTTTCAAAAATAGCACATATTTGAAAACGAGGTATTTTTTGTTAAACAAAAGCTTCTTACCTTAAAAAATTTCCATGGCACTTTTTTTGGGAAGAAATATTAAAAATCATAAAAGAGTACCTGGACATGAAGTGCAGTGACTTATCTCACCTGTAAGATCCAGAGAGCACATATCTCCAGTCAGAGATAAGAAATTTTTCTTGAATTTGTCCTGAAAATTTCCTGCCTGACTTGGCACAGTAAACCTCTCCAGTAACACTGCGGACTGAAATATTCTGCAAATAAAAATAAAACAGAATGAATTACATGTCTTTTTAATAAAAAATCAGACAGGGAAGGCCCTCTTCCCCCACTGTATTTAGCTCTTCACCGCCCCAAAGTCTTCTTCATGGACTCTGATGTGATATTGAAGGTTTTTGTCCAGAAGAAACCTAACCAAGGTCTCTCACTTGCCAGGGTTACTTGTTTCACTGGGGGTATAAACCTGCCTGGAAGCTCATGCAGGTGGAGCTGAGTTCTGTGACAGTAACTGACCCCTACCCCAGCCAAAAGGAGCACGGATGTTTCCATGGCTGGGAGCAGCCTGCTGCCTTTCACTGACAGCTCAGGCACAATCTGCTGCAGCTGTATACTCCTCTGATTTACATTGGCTGTACCATGACACAGTAGGACAAAACTTCTGCTCTTCCAATCTATCTGGGCCTGCAAGGACACACTCTCCTTAAAAGTGAGGGTTTACAGGCATGCAAACAGTTATGAACATGCATTATTATTTTCAGCTTCTTTATATATTTGGGATGGAATTCAGCTGTTGAAAACCAGGTGTCTGATGTATGTGTAAGATGCCCTCAGGTCTCCTGTGTGCCCACAGCTGCCATTCCAGAGGTCTGTGGCCTCTGCAGCATCACCCATCTCCACAGAGGTGCCAAAGGAGCTCTACAGCATCTCAAGCAACAACTGAAATAAGCCCTAGGAGGAGTTATTTTGAAGCCAGCTCCCTCTGGCTGAGATGAAAGCAGATTAAACTAACAGCCACCTATATCCGAGGTGTTACCTTTAAAAGAGCTTTAACACATTTTACCAGAAAACACCCAGTGCAACCAAGCTATGGCTACGCAAAACAGTTTTGTGCACCTTCTCCCTGTGGCTGCCAGAGCACAGCTGCTGCAGAGCTATTAAACAGAAGCAGCTCTAATGCCTATGTTAGATAACTCTACTAGGGAAATTTAAGTCCTGTTTTAAGGCTTCAGGTCCAAGATTACTTTCTTCTGGGGACCTAATGGAAATGCCTTATCTTTCTAATAATATCCATGGGAAAACGTAGGCATCTTCAAAGAGGAATTGGATGTGCTAACACTACCCCAGGAAATCTCTTGCGCCCTTTTAATTAGAAGGTGGATTGACCCTAGCATAACCATGCTTCTAGCTCAGGGTGCCTGCAGTTAGGCAGACAACTCTCAGCCTAAGAGCTTCACAGAGCCACAGTACCTTGAAGAGATCCTCAGAAATTTGCAACTTGTCACACATCTCCGAGAAAAGATCTATACTGCCGTGATCGAGCAGCAGGTACACAAAGACCATGCGCTTGTTAGCTGCCTCCAGGAGGTCACAGAGAATCTCAGTGTCTGTGAACACATCCATCACGATAGCCAACACCTTCAGAAAAAGAGCAGAGGCATTAGCAGAGTCAATTTACATAACTTGAGGTTGCTATGAGAACACTGTGATGTAGTATATTTGTTTAAAAAATATTCCAATAAACACATATACTTGGTTTTAGGTAGATATTTTTTTCTGGTTTTCTCCCTAGAAGTGCTTGAATCATTAAATTGATTAAACATACTGCCTCATTGTTCTACTGCTCATATAAAGCAAATATAACACAACATGACAAGATGACACATGAATTTGTAGGTGAGATTTCAGCACTAGGAAATATATTGAAATACTTATCAGAGAATGATAAGGATGTGGCTAAATAAAAGACACAGCCCTTTCCACAAGGATCACTAGGTGTCATAAGCCACACACATTCAGCAAGAATCCCTGGATGATGCTTTCTCTTTTATGATTTACACCTGGACAGCCCTGGCTTTAAAAAGCCTCACCCTGTTGTTGTTGGTAGGGTGATAGACTCCAACAGCTCCATATTTTTTTAAACACTGATTTAAAACTAACTGTTAGAATTTGATCACACATCCATGCTCCCCAATTCACAACTGGCAGAACACTGTAAAAGTCTCAGGACTGGGCATAAAAGCCCTGACAACTATTTAAATGCACAGCCTGCAGCCAGTGTGGATCAAGGGAACTGTAAATGTGATATAAAACTAGTTCCATACTAAAAAGTGCTGGTCTTGTCTGATGTCTGCTACTGCCCATGGAAAGGGTCAGTTCAGCCCAGCTGTTACCTGGCTTATCTTCAGGAGGTGCTTGTTTCTCCACTGACTGGAGAGGGAACCTTTGGTAACTGTGCTCATGGGGTATCACCTTCAATCAAAACAAACTTTACAGCATCTTTGTAGAGCTCTCTTACTTACTGCTTCCAGCTTGCTCTGAATCTTACTCCAAAGCCTATACCCACACCTAACAGCAAGATTATTCCCCTTGCCACCATGAGGATCTCCTCCAAGACCAGGCACATCCTGCACAGCCAACGTCCTCTTCATGCAGCCAAACTATTTGTGGAGCACTGAGGATCCCACACCTTCCTCCAGCTGTCAAAGCCTGGTGATTCGGAAAGAGCTTTGCCATGGCTAGGTAAGCACAATTATGTCAAATATCTCACATCCACACTTCCTAGTAATGCCCCAGCTCCAGACTATTCTCTCTGGTACTGCTCTTTACCACCTGTTCCAAATTTATATTTCTGCATCTGACTTTCCTCTCTTACTTGCAGTACTCTTCATTTCTTATGCCTGAATTTCATTTTGCAATTTGCACCAATTAACAAATGTGTTAAAATAGTAGCATCCCTTGGCAATCCTTTGCAGTTTGAGATCATCCATAAACACAGTCTTTATTTTGTTATTTAATTTTGTAATGCATATATCAAACGCTAGACTATCCAGGATGGACCTTTATCAGATGATTATAAATAACTGGTGCCATTGGAAAACTGTGCTCAAAAAGCAGTTCACAAATGTATATTGTTAGTATTGCTTCAGCACGCTCTTGTAATGTAAATTAGATGATTAAGAAGGTCACATGAACCATGGGTTTATATTACATTTCCTAATTTTTCACCTGTAAGTTTTCTCTTCTTGGGACAGAAAATTGGTCTGGGTTGATATTTTACCTGATGCCTATTTTATTATTCCAGAGACATTTCTTCTGTTTCTGCACCTTTCTGATGCCTCCAACTGACAATGGCTGATCTCTAATTCCCCTGGTCTGGTAAACACTTGTAGGCTTTGAGAGAGCAGTTGCCAACGGGGATCCTTGTCCTCTGCTATCACACTGTGTTACCAGGGCCAGCGCCTGCCCTTGCAGGGGAATAACGAAGTGGAAGGAATCCAGAGGGCTCGGAAGTCTGTGCTGGGCAGCACTATTGCATCCTGACTTGACTCCTGACCATTCCTGGGTGAAACTGCTGCTGCTCTTTTGAATTTATATAAGAGCAAAACTCCTGGATTATGGTAAACACAGCCGTGAGGTATCAGTTGGTTTGGGTTTTTTTTTTCAGGAAAACCAGAGAGCTGCTAGAACACACATGACATCAGACTTCTGTCCCCACTCCAGCTGCTCAGTTGCTGGTTTCCCAGAGTGTGGGCAGCCTGGCTTTGGCTTGTGGCTGGCAGCTCTGTGGTCTCCACCACCTGTGGTCAGAGGCATCATCTGCATCTTTCCCACATGTCAAGTTATGCTGCAGGGTTTCCGTATGGAGCTCACATGACATTTTAACTGATACAGGTGACATATTAGGGATGGAAGGTCTATTTTCTGGGTAATTTCCTTCCTCTGAGGATGGCTGCTGACATACCAGACATACTTGCCTTTCTTTGGCTTCCACATCTCCCACAAATCCTCTCGGACAATTCCTAATGGCTGAAAGCTCACTTAGGCTTAATTCGCATAAATGGTGCAGTGGTCTGAACAGATAAAACATCCTGCTGGGGTGGAGGTACATAAGAAGGGACAGAGCCAAGCTGCCCTTTCTGCAGCACATTTAATCCACTGGGTGAATAGGAGGTTACAAGAGAGAAGAGGAAATTTTTTTTTTTTAAGCCACCAACATAAAATAATCTTGGTGTGAGTTAAAAAAACATTAAAAAAGCACTGCCTGTGCTCAACAACAGGCTCTTCACAGGCACTTTCTACAGCTAGACTACACTGCAATGCACAGTGCTGCCTTGGATTAAACACCATGTTCACCTGAGCTTGTAAGAGCAAGAAACAACCAAGTGCAGAGGGAACAGCAATTCTCTCTCATACCTGAGTGGTCTTGTGGATGTACCGGCGTATGATGTCTCTAATGTTGCTGTTCTTCTCTGTTTGGAAATACACAGTGGCGGTGGATTTTTCCTTTAAATAGGGTTTCTCTGCTGTAATCCATGTGTGGAGCAGAGCTGGCTCACTGCTGTCAGAAATGGTGGGGAAGTAGGTTCCCGAAGGCAGTGACCCGGCGTCGTTCTGCTTTGGCGCGGCTGCCCCGTCGGCACCTGGGGACTCCTGTGCATAGTAAGACTCCCTGGCGTTATCCTTGATGTACTGAGCTTCCACCGAGGAGAGGAAATCCACCTCACCCTCTTTGCTTAGAGTTTCGAGGTAAGAGTCTCTCCCACCATCCAAGAAGGCGTCGGTGGCCAATCTTATGCTTTCGTTGTGGCTGAAGTCCACTTTTGTCAGCTTCAGGGACAGGTTCTTGATGTCCTCCAGCCTCTTCTTTATCTTGCCCATATGTCTGGGGTGGTTCATGGCTCTTTGTCGCAGCAGCCGATCTGCCGGGCAGGCACCATGCATATGCGTGCCACAGGCAGTGCAATCGACCTTCTTGTTTGAGCACTGCATTCTGGCATGAAATCGCCTCAGCTGAACGAATTAACTATGAATAAAAATAAAGAGATCTTATTACCACAGGCAAATTCACACTCCCTGAATGTGTCTGTACAATTATCTTCAAAACGAACCTGAAGCTTGCTTCTCAGGTGCTGGTGTACTCCGGCAACAATCTGTTTCCAGATGGGACACAAAAGCAAAGCTGATTAGAGATTGCTTATCTGAGAGGCACCCACCTCAGCCCCAGGCCATACGAAGGATTCGAGTCAAATTTACCACGGCCGTCGGATTCGATTGTGTTCCCCTTGTCGCATCCTGTGAAATGAGTGAGGAAAGCACTCAAGCAAAAGCAGGTAGGCTCCTAAGCATCATTGCACAATCTTCAAAACAGCTTGAGGCTTCTCTGTCTTCCCATAGTATTCGTTAGGGAGAAAAAACAGCTGTGATGTTGAACTGGAACGGAGACAGTAGCCATGTCCACATGGCTTCAAAACAGCAAAAAGGGTCATGGGCTCTGTTCTGCACCTACATGCTGCCAGGCAGGCTTAAAACTGGATGTGAACTTCGTCACTGTGCCCCGTCCAGAGTATGTTGCTATTACCATTGACGATTCACTCATTTCTTTAAAGCTTTGTGACTACGCCATCCTATTAAAAGAAAAATACCCCTTCCCAAACATCCTGACTATTACGTGGAGGGAGGGTTGTGAGCTGGCCTCAAAGCATCAGAAATGCAAACACTCATCACTTGATTGTGCACATTTAAGACTTTTTTTTTTTTTTTTTGGTGGGGGGGGGGCGGGGCTTTTTTTTTTTTTTTTTTTTTTTTTTTTTTCTTTCCCAGGCTGCAGCTGCTGGAGTCACGTTGTCCCCGTGGCAGCTCTGTGTGTGTCATCAGGCGGATGGAGGCGCGGCTGGCAGCGGAGGCAGCGCGGAGCCCGGGGGCAGCCGGGCCGGCCGGGCTGGCCGGGGAGAGGCGGGGCGGCAGCCGCTGCCGCGGGTGTCCGTGCTGCGTGCGTGCCGGGCTGCAGCGCCACGCGGGACACGCTGCCTCACGGGCGGGCTGGCCCGTGTCCGTGCCGCGGCTCCGCGGGAGTGCGGGATGAGGAGGATGCGGCCGGCCTGGGCCCGTGTGCTGCCGAGGCCGTGTGCGGGCAGGGGGAAGCTGCCCCGGGAGCACGGGTGACTTCGGGGCGCACAGGGACAGCCTTTCAGGGCAGCTTCACAGATTCTGGAGCTCTGTCAGGTGCCCTATGGAGTGGGGAGAAAAATAATCACACGTAAAGATGAGACGAAGATGTATGGAACACAGAACAGCGTTAAATGGCTCGGATATTAATCCTGAAGCGACCACGTGGGCCGAGCAGGGGCGGTGGCGGGGCCGTCCTGAGCTTCTGGGGCGATTTTAAAACTACCCCGTCCCTCCCTCCGCCCCCAACATCCGCCCGCAGCTGCCAGACGCGGCCGAAAGTCACTAATTATCTCCTGACCTGTTCTGCGCAATTAGGCCGAAAATGATGCCATCTAATTACCCTGACATGCAGGACTGTGCCCTCCCAACGCCGATCGGGGCCAGGGACGGCGCTCCCCTCCTCGGCCAGCATCCCTCATGGTCGCCCCGGTGTCACTCAGGGTCAGCCTGGCCCCCACATGGGCACGGCGGGGCTCCTCACACGTTATACGGTGGGGCCTCACACTGCCGCCCTAGCGAGCCCCCTGTCACGCTGCGGTCCCACATGCTCTCTCCGAGCCCCCGCACGGCCTGCACGCCCCAGGTGTGGGCGGAGGAGGGGCCGGGCCGGGCCGGGCCGGGCCGGGCCGTGTCCTCCCCTGGCCCGGGCGGGGAGCGAGGTGGCCGCCAGGACCGAGAGCCCTCGCGGAGGAGGCGCTTTCAGCCGCCTCGTTAGCGCAGTAGGTAGCGCGTCAGTCTCATAATCTGAAGGTCGTGAGTTCGATCCTCACACGGGGCAAAGGCGGGCAGCACTTTTTGCTCTCGGCCGCCTCCCTCCCCCGCGCTTTTAGCGGCGACAAACTCGCCCCACACCGCGCTCCGAGCCGGACGGCGACTTCCAAATGTGCTTGTCGTGATTGCCGAAGCGGCGGTCCCAGGACAAGCGCCTGCCTGTCTCTGCCGGTGACGTGCGGGAATCACTCTGCGATGGTTCTCGCTTTCCGCAGCCGGGTTTCAAGTCGCAGGAATAACTGCGATGGGTCCAGCTCTCGGCAGCCGGGTTTCAAGTCGCAGGAATAACTGCGATGGGTCCAGCTC